ATAAAACGACATCCTTAATGTTCGTTGTAGCGAGAGAGATTGATGAAATTGAACGAACTACGAGCTAGCTACAAGGTATGAGGGATTTTCATTTGCGGGGAGGAGAAGCGAACGTGCGCGTTCGTCGAGTATATTTTATTGTTGTTTCGAGGTAAATTTTTGCGTCCGGCGTAAATAGTTGCGTGTTTCCGTGGAGAAAGATGGAAAAACGGGGGGAAGCGTAAATTTTTCCCTTTTTACATGAAGACTGAATGAACGGTACAGGGTGAAGAAGCGGTCGGGACAAACGTTGTTTTCTCTCGCTTTCGTTTTCGTCGATCGACAAGCGATTAATCGCGCTGATTACACAAACGTAAGGGGAGCATACGGAAGCTAAGGGAACAGAAATAAAAAAAGGAGAGCTTGTTAAAAATCGAGAAGCAGGTAAGCCAGCAGGCAGGTGTACTTAAACATGGCGACGAAAAAGCGTCGTTCTTCGTGTTGCGATCGAGAAAGAAAAGAAAAAGAAAAAAGAAAAAGAGAAAAAGAAAAACGATATATTTTCTTTCATTCCTCGTTCATTTTTACTCTCTACCTGCACCTAGACGTTAGTGGCCGACTGTTTTTGTTGCTGTGATATTATTAACGATGTTGTAGCGTTAAGTGCGTTTAATAAGTGTAACACGCCCCGTGGTTAATAAATTAGCCAGGCTAGACGTGCATATTTCCAATTCGTCGTATGTAGATACGAACGAGTGTGTCGCGTACCGACCCGATACCTTTAATTATCTCGTCGGGATCCTTCGACTACGAATAAATGTTTCGCGGATAACGATTCGATGTCTAAACAGTTACTATTTCCCTACTTTCCACGATGTTTTGTGATCATATATCGTCGCTGTGGAATTGTAAGATACAAAGTAATAAATCGATGTTCAAACACTCCACCAATTGTATCTGCGCTTGATTACGCATCTCTCTCTCTCTCTCTCTATCTTTCTCTATCTCTCTTTCTCTCTCTCTCTCTCTCTCTCTCTCTCTCTGTTTCTATGTTTCTCTTTCTCATCGTACAGCACATCTTTCTCTATCTCTCTTTCTCTCTCTCTCTCTCTCTCTCTCTCTCTCTCTCTGTTTCTGTGTTTCTCTTTCTCATCGTACAGCACACTCGTGCAATCGCTACCTACAGGTTTTTCATTTTCTTTATTCCTCGTCTGTCTCTGTGTCGCTTTTACCGGAAATAGACGCATCTTTCGGTTTTACGCTACTTTCTTTTGCTTTTCTTTCACGTGATTACTAACGAACCTGTCCCTTCAAATTTGGTACGATACGTTTGCTTCTTTACGCGTTTTTTTCTCTCTCTTATCTCCCTCTCTCTTTCTCTCGAATAATCGTCAGGTGTAACAGAGTGAAACTCATATCCCACCGTTCAAAACTGAAATCATGCCGAAATCATCGACACACGTCGTTTTTGTCCGTTTCTCCCCCCCCCCCTCGACTCTTCTTTCTTTCTTTATTTTTGTTTCTCCCTTTTCTCTAAATTTCTCTTGTGGTGGACAATCCGAGAAAAAGAAAAAGAAAAAAACATATGCCAAGCTGGATTCTTTCTTTAGGATCACGGTCACGAGCCCATTCGAACGGACGTTCATCGATCCTTATTTATTGCTTTCAGATCTGAACATACTGGACACGATGATGACCAACATGGCGCCGACTACGATCCAGTCGAAAGACGGTCGTGCCCTCTATTACTGTCCCAAGTGTCTTCACGGGTTCACGTTGAAAAGCAATCGCAACCGGCATTACAAGTACGAATGCGGACACGAGCCAAGGTTCAAGTGTCCTTACTGCAAGCTGAAGAGCAAACAGACGTCGCAGATCTACTGTCACATCCGGAAGAAGCATTCTGGCGAGAGGGTCTGCGTGATCGATCTGAAATTCTAAATCGACCCGATATCTAATTTGACGATACTTATTGTATATTCCTAGAGTATAAAAGTAATAAACGTTTCATTTCATCGTGATTACTCGATGGGGTGAATGGGTGGCACAAAAACGAGGGAGGGGTTGAAGGGAGGGGTTTACACGCGTTTCTCTTTCAGGCTACGAAAATGACTCGTCCTAGACGAGAATGGCCACATAAAAGAAAGAAAGAAAAGAGACAAAGATTAAAATCCTCGTCGAAGAAATATGTGTCTTTTGTTCGATTCCGTTTTCTGTCTAACCGTTGCACTCTTTTGCTTTCAGTGGATCGTTCGTTTCGCCTGCTATACGGAAATTACGGGGTCAACCCGTATCAGGAGGCGATTAAATCGTCGGAGGACGACGTCTACGGGCCGCTTCGGCGCAGAGGGAGCAAGAAAAAGAACTACGTGTGCCCAAAGTGTGGGAACGGTTACACCGTAGTGAAAAGTCTGAAGCGTCACCTTCGTTACGAGTGCGGAGTTGCGCCTAGATTCAAATGTCCTTATTGCGGTACACGCAGCAAGCAGAGGGCCCACGTGAACGAGCACATACGTAGAAAGCATTCGGGCCAGCGCATCTACATTATCGATTCACCTTGATGACGAGTGTTCCGCGGTAGATTCTTCTCTTTCTATTTCATTTCTTCCCACGGAGTTAGGATCGCGTTTCGAACGACGGGTGAAATCTGTCTGACGAGTGTCGCCGCCTCGGTGGAGTTTACTTGCATCGCTCTTCGTCCTTCGTCTTCGTCGTCGTCTTCTTGGTCGTCTTCGTCGTCGTCCTCCTCGTCCTCGTCGTCCTCGTCGTCTACACACGGTGGTTACTATCTTTGTGTATGATTCCCGCGATGGAGAACTGGTCGAACGAAGGAAGGCAACAACGTGTACCGGTTTTTAAGTCGAATGTACATGTGAAATGCGAGAATAAAAGCATTGTTGCGATGCCAGTTGGATATGAAGAAGTGACCTGTTCGCGATACGAAAGGCGCGACCAACCTCTCTTTTTCTTCTTTGATCCTTTGATCTTTGTTTTTATTCTCTTCCGGTAAATTGTGCAAGGAGGCAGGCGGCTGTGTGTGAGATGTTCCTCGAGAAAAGGGAAAACACCTTTGCCTTATGAAATGAAAAAAAAAGAGAAAAGGTTTAAAACGAAAAAAAACCAGCTTGCAGTCTTCTCTCGGGGACAAGGTGGCGGGATAAAATAACTACGCGGTAACCCGTTCCTCTTCGATAACGATACAATCGCTTCCATCATAATTATATACATATAAACATATATATATATATCTATATATATATACACGCACACATGTGAAAACACGTGTGTGTACATATGTATACATATATTTTTCGATCAAAAAAAGAAATATTCATTTTTCCTCTCGTTTCTCTCTCTCTCTTTCTCTTTCTCTCTTCCTCTCACACACTCTCTCTCTCTCTCTCTCTTTCTCTCTCTCCATTTCTCTGCCCGGTCGAACGCGAACACGGCAAAAGTAACCCCCGGACTAATCCCGTCTCGTTTTCACTTTTCTTTTTTTAGACACGAAGAGGATCAAGATCGAAAGTGATCTGGAGAATCTTTGCTCGGTGGTGATGGAAGAAGCGAAGGATTTCGATTTAGAAGAAGAGAAGCCGCTTGGCTCGAGGAGACGAAGAAGCATCGCTCTTCGTGACATCGAGAGGCACACATGCTCTAAATGCTCCAAGAGTTACATACACGCGTGGCATTTGAAAAGGCACACCAAGTTCGAGTGCGGGAAAGAGCCGAGGGTTCAGTGTCCGTATTGTGCCGCGCGGATGAAGCAACGCGGTCACGTTTACAGACACATCCGTCAGTGCCATCGTGGTCAGAACGTGTACGTGATCGATCTGAACTAAATCGGGATCGTGATAGATCCATGTGCAATCACGCGCTACAACCAAGTTCCTGTTCTCCGTTAATTCTCGACGCTACGCGTACACACCGCCAAATCGACTACTACTTTTCCCTTCTCTCTATCTCCCCATCTACCTCTTTCTCTCTCTCTCTCTCTCTCTCTCTCTCTCTCTCTCTGTTCTTCTTTCCTTTCTGACAAATGGAAATTGTGCGTCGTTGCTTTATTTTCGTAGAGAAGATCACCGCGAGGAGTCGACTGAGATCGTGGTGTGTCTGGTGCTATAGAATGATCGAGAGTAAAAGTGAGAAACGCGCGAAAGAATGAGAGGGAGAGTGTGAAAGAGGGAAGCAAGCGACGCGCCAGATCTGTTTTTACTTAAACAACCGTTCAACTTTAACCAAACCTCTTTCGTTCTGTTCATTTCCCCTCTCTGTTCTGTTGTTACCGTTGTTATTATTGTACGCATTGCGTGCGACGAAAGAAAGTGCTAGAAACAATAAATAAGAAAAGAACGATCTATGAAAATAGTTGTGTTGCGCCAGAAATAGCGACAAAAAAACGTAATTTTTTCCTCTTTTTGATGAACGTATTTAAACACGAGACGATGTTTCAGTCGAGCATCGATCGGGGGATGGTTCCGTCCATGATCGATCGAGGATCCATTTCTAATTGGCACGTTCGATTTCAGGTTCGCGTCGAAGCGCGTTGTTTAACCTCGGGAGGATCCACGGAGCGAGGGTAAACGAGTCATCGTCCAGCCCGAATTTCTGTCCAAAGTGTTCCGTAAAATTCGATCGTTTGCGCGATCTCCGTGCCCATATGATCCGAGCGTGCGGATTCGAGTCGAAGAAGATGTGCCCATACTGCGATACCGTCGGCAACACCGTCGAACAGATTCACCGGCATATCGAGCATCGCCATCCAAGTCTGCGTGCTGCGGTCCTCGAAGTGTATAACGTGGTTAACGGATAAATGGACAATCCTTTTTGCCAGTCATATTTTCATACCTTGCCTCTTTTTCAATTGTATCCCGAGCAAAAAAAAAAAAAAAAACACCCGTTCGTTGGTAGTCAATAAAATAAGAACGACAAAAGAAGGAAAAAGAAAAAAGAAACGATCAAATAAAACGAAAGAAACGGGGAGGAAAAAGAAAAAAACGAAAGAAAGAAACGTCACACGGTCGTGTTAGACCACCACGTAACAAACGTTGATCCGATGTGTAGCCTTTTAATGTCGTAATTTCAAACGCAAAAAAAAAAAAAACTGAATTGATTAAATCTGTTGTTCTCGAGATGGTAGTTCGGTTTCTTCTTGTCTGACAAACAAACACAAAAAACAGCTCTCTCTCTCTCTCCCAATTCGAAGAGACACCCGTTTATGCCCTCCAACTAACGCCCCTCGTTTTCTTCTTCCTGTGACTTGCAGACGTACCGATCCCCTGCATGACTATGCCGAAGGGCTTTCAAAGGAATTGCAACTACCCGATGGTGCCGCTGATCAAGGACCTGGCTACCCTATGGATGGCGAAGAGGGTCGAGTTCCCTTATCGTTGCGGGACGTGCGGCAAAGGTTACCAGCATCGGGCCACACTGGTCAGGCACACCAGGCACGAGTGCGGCAAGGAGCCACAGTTCAAGTGTCCCTATTGCGTCCACAGGACCAAGCAACGTGGCAATCTTTATCAACACATTCGTACGAACCATCCTGGCAAGAACGTCTTCTCGAGCAGCATCTGAAAAACTTTACTCTTCTTCCCTTTCGCCCTTTTTCACTTTTAATCCCCTAGCCGATGACCCGTGTGTCGTCCTCGTGTAGAATCGACCGAAAAACGGAACAATGTATACTTGCGAATAGAGTTAGAGCTTGGTTAGCGAAAAAAAAAAAAAAAAAAAACTGTTCGTTACCTTTATTTGCTAAGCTGTCGATTGAAAGAAAAGTCAAGCCCACACACAAGCATCGTATCCCGTCATATTGTACGCGTTCTCGTCGTCAGTCTGTGTAAAGCATGTGCCAAAAGAGAGGGGAGGGGGGAATAACAATGAAGGAGAAACCAATTACAGAGAAAAGAAACGAATAATAATAATAATAAACAGTTTATTCTCCCCTGGTAAAATCGTTCAACATACGCACGCACGCACGATAATCGTAACGAGACAGCTTCAACGAGAGAACGTTATTCCTCCTTTTTTCTTTTTACAGAATTACCCTGGCCCGGCTATCATCACCGTTATCATCACGGTAGAACGGTGAGCCAGCACAAGCTGCAGCCGCTCGCGAACAGCCCGAGCGTCAAGATTGTCCAGAAGTCGAGCAGCTGTTTGGACAAGAAACCCGGTTGCTTCAGATGTCCTAGATGCAACAAGAGTTACTCTTGGCTAAGGAACATGAAGAATCATCTGAGAATCGAGTGCGGCAAAGATCCCAAGGAGTGTTGCCCTTACTGTCCTCATCGAACCAAATACAAGAGCAGCTTGCAAAAGCACATCCTTAGAATTCATTTCGGATGATGGAGCGACGATGCACGTTCTTCCGTTCTTCGTTAGTACCAACCGACTCTCGTTGCACCGGCGAACGCGCTAGTACGGACGATGTGAAGTAAAAATTGACCGTTTCGAAAGTGTACCGAGTGTATCGACGATTGACTCTCGGGAATCTCTCCTGTGTAATCAATAAATTGTTGGTAGAGGAAGAAAGGTTGTGTAGATGTTGATCGTTCTTCCGCGTATGACCGATTTTATGGTGAAGAAAGATCGCAAGCTGGCCTGAAAAGTTCCTTCCGTATTCTCTACTCCGCTGACTAGCCGTTTCTGTTTCAGGTGACAAGTACACCTGCGAATGGTGCGGTCGATCGTTCGCCTGGCCGTCCAGCCTGAGGCTTCACCAAAAAATGGCCTGCGGGAAGTCGCCTAACTTCTTCTGCACTCTATGCGGTTACAAGTCCTACTTTAAGGGAAACTTCAAGAGACACCTGTTCTGTAAACATCAGATAGACATGTATTAGCTAGGCTGTGATCAATGTTGCTCGATAATAAAGTGCGTTCTTCCCATGGAGAACCTAGCTCCTCTCCGTCTGACTCCGCCGAATCTTCCTTCGTGGTTATCTCTCTTTCAGCGAGAAAAGAGCCGCTGTAAAATGACCGCTGAGGAGTCCCTCGAAGATCAGGCAAAGCAGCTGGGACGTAAGTATGATCTATTCGCATGCACGAGTACGAGAGTACAGGTATGTTAGCATCGTTGTTTTCTAGCTGCTTGAAACCGGGAAGATGCCCTCTTCGAACGAAATCTCCGAGCTTCGATTCACCTGAGAGAGATAGAGAGAGAGAGTGTGTGTGTGTGTGTGTGTGAAGGTAGACTCGATTAAAGTCCGCTTGGCGAGTTTTCAGCTCGAAGGGGGCAGAATCGTCGCGAGAATGGATCTGTTGACGACTAAGTCGGGACGCGATCCGCTGTATCTTCTAATAACCTGACAAGGCATGCGCTTCGATGTCTAGAAGCTAGCCCATCACTGGCGATGATCCTTTAATCATCTCTCCTTTCTCTCCCGCCACTCCTAACAAACGAACACCTGACACGCGAATCGCGCCGCGTTGATCCCCCCCAAAAAAAATTCGAGTCCGAGATCGAGGCGGCGCGACCTTCTCACGCAGAGCGGTCTAAGTCGATCGTTTTGTGTTAACCGAAATTTCTTTCCAGATGCTCCCCTATTCCCGATCGTGAGGCCACGGCTGCATGTTTGTCCGCGTTGCGGCCAGATGTACTCCTGGGCGTCGAACCTGCGGAAGCATCTGAAGCTGGGCTGCGGAATGGCCACGTTCGAGACTCACTTCTCCTGCCAATATTGCCCTTACAGGTCGAGGATCGAGGCCTCCTTTCTCAAGCACCTGCTCTCGGTGCACAACATCAAGCAGACAGAAATTCGCTGAACGTCGCTATTACCATCCCACCGTCTACCTAATTCGTTCACCGATATTCCTATGGAGCAACAATCTCTTCTTTTGTCCAGTACACCTCGCCCCGGGGGAAACTAGTTTCGCATCGGTTTATTCGAAGTCTGGAAATTGTGGAACGGATTGTCTGAAAATTCGGAATAACGAGAGAGTTAGAAATTTTTGCGCCGGTCAGGCGCTGTAAAAGAGCGATCTCCTCTGAGCTTCATTGCGAAACTATACGGCATCTGGATCGATCGAGCTGTTCGTCGATCGAGATGCTCCCCTTTTCGACAGTTGTGCGATACAGTGATATGTCGCGTTTACAGTTTTGCGCTGAAAGATTTCACGATTGATCGACGCGACAGCACAATCGAGATATGGCAAACGCTAATCGTACTTGAGTGAACCGAATCTAGTCTAAAGGCTGTCTTTTCTTTCGTCTTCCTTTTCTTTCGTTTCCTTTTTTTATTTTTTTATCTTCTCGCCCTTTGTCTCTTGTAATATTTATCGACGATCGATTTCGATTCGCGCGTCTCCGACTTTCGTCTCTCACTGTTCACTTTGTCCCGTTGAACACGGAACGATCGGGTGTGTAACGTCTTTGTCGAGTCACACGAACGCGCGGTTCACGTTGAGAATCGATCATCGATAGTGTTTTTGCCCTTATCGTTTAGTTAGTCTTATAGCGACGATGAACCATCTTCTTTTCTTTTCTTTTTCTTTCTCGAATATACCATTGTATTCGCTTTTTGTTGAGTGCGAACTATAGTTTTTTCGTTTCCCGTACTTATCATTACGATTTTCTGGCGCACCGACGAAACTAACGGTAGCGCAGCAGTTGAACTTGTAGCAAATGATTTCCTATCTGTTCGATATCGAGAAAAAAAAAAAAAACGATCGTAATAAGGATAAGCATGCATTCGCAGCGGTTTTCTCCTTTAGAAGTCGTTCGAGACGTTGCGAGTATCGCGGTGTCAAGTGGTAGAATTATGATAACGACGTTGTACGCTCGATTTCCTTTGCTGGTGTTGTGGCGAACACGAACGACAATTCTCCAGGACGAGATGAAATGTTCTCGTGTTCGTACGAATTTTTACATCGTCGAGGCACGTCGTTTCCAAAAGGAAATACGAGAACGCACACGTTCAAAGGAATTCACCGTTTTACGTAGAGAGCACATTCTCTAGGCGAAAAAGAAAAAGAGAGAAGATCACAAGAATCGCCGAGTAATTGTCGTTTTTGGCGTCGATTATAAAACGATTTTTACAAACTGCGTATCAGTTTCACCGACACACACACACACACACACACACACAATTTCTCTCATCCTGTTCGTTTCTGTTTCGTTCGAATTACGCAAAAATTACGACACAAAAAGTGAAAAGAAAATGAGGAAACAAAAAACGGTGAATTATTTCGATTGGCTTGAAAGAAAACAGAAAAAAGAAACAAACCGTTCTCGCGCGACAAGCTGCGATCGATGAAAAATCGCGTCAAACGCGACGCGTAAACGGATTCAATTTTCATATACCTACTCACGCTAAACCAAGTAGTAAATGTCAGTCACGTTTCATCTCATTCTTTGTATAATCGTACCGAACGCGGAAAGACGAATCGTACTTGTTATCGATAGTTTAGTGGAAAAAAAAAAACAAGAATAATGTACGAGTCACTTGTCTACGATGCATGACTATCTAGTCTATTTTGTCCATTTGATTCGATAGATCCGTAGATCTATTAGGTCGAGCAAGAATGCTGCGCAGTGGTGGTTAAGTGTTCCTGTGTAACGATGTCCGGCAGTCGATTGCTTTTTAAATAAATACCTGTGTACAGTTCGAAAATCTTCTGCAAAGATTCTTCGAGGAACGACCTGTTTCGTTTTCATTTCTTTCTCTCTTTCTTCCTTTCTTTTTCTTTATTTTATATTTTCCTCGACGATCTAATCGACGAAATACCATTTGCTTTCAGCTGATCAACAAGGCGTCGCGAGCCTTCCAAGAACGAAAGAAGCTCTTCGAAGATCTGTGGAACACGACTGTTTTACATTTTTCGTCTGCAGAGAGAGATTCTTCCGGGTCGGAACCTTTTCTGCGATGTAAACGCCGCCGATGTTTTGTTACAGATTCTCTTCGCACTTGGAACACGAGAGAAGCAACCGAATTGCACCGCTTGGAAAACGCGAGGATCTACGCGAGCAATGAAACGACGGCCAAAGAGATTTACGAAGGCGAGGAGGAGGAAAGTGAGAGTGGATGGAAAGACTGTTAAAGTACTCCTGTTCGAGATGCCTGAAAAGCTACAAGAGAAAGTGTGGCATCCGGTGGAGCATCGGAAGATATTTTGCGACAAAGAGAAACGGCAATGCTCTCCGTACCGTACCTTTCGTTTCGTACAGGAAATCGAACTCGAAGAGACACATCAGTCGAAAGCACAGCAACGATCGAGATCGTGAACGAAGAAAGAAAATCCCACAGTGACACAACGTTTCACGATTAAAACAACGTCATCGCCACAATTTGTAAGCGTTTTATCTATTATGAGAGAAGCAGGAGTGGAGGGTGAAATAAAGTTGACATCGCCTGGCAATACTACTTGTCCAACGTTCCTCATCGTTCCCGTATCATTCGACTCTCTCGATCCTCCCCTGTTCTCTGTCTTTCTGCTGTCGATTATCTCGTCGCTTATAGATTGGTTAGACGATCTCCGATCTTGGATTCAGAGGCAGTAACTTCTTCGTGTCAAACCCGGCCAATGACAAAACGGACGTTGTGTTTCAGGTGAACTGATCCTTTGGGAGGACTATCAGGTATTCGATCCCGCGACGGTAGGCGAAAGGTGCTTGTACGAGACAAGTTATTTCGCATCCGACCGCAAGTCTGTCAGAGTGTTCAGGAGCAAACGGGCGGATCCTGTCGCGGGCAGATACAAGTGCTCCAAGTGTTCGAAATCGTACCGATGGAAGCACCATTTGGTGGAGCACGTGAAGGCGTCCTGCGGCCAGAAGAAGGCCGAGTGCTGTCCTTACTGTAGCTACAGGAGCAACCGGAAGTGGAACTTGAAGTCACACATGAAGAGGATTCACGCGGACGCTTAGATCACGCCCCGTCTACGGCCTGTTTCTCTACACTGGCTCCACTTCCTTCCCCTCTTTTGGTCCGACTGTTACAATAAAACGTTTCGTTGCGATACGCGAGAGCTAGACGTTTCCCTCGTCTCTCGGGCCGTCCTCGATTCTCTACTTCCAATGTTGTTCTCATTACTCCCGTGCGCCACGCGATAGTCTCGTGCGGTTCGAATCGTTGGAAAGGTACGTTTTCGAACCATTGGAATTTTTTGGTTTCGATACTTTGCTGCTTCCGTCCTACGAACGTTCGAACGATCGGCTCGAGCTTATTTTCCTTTCTTTCTCGTTTATTTTGTATTGGTACATTTAGCACGTGCGGGGGGAATAGTCGTATGGGTGGATACTTTTAACCCATTCGGCGGATACTTTTATTTTCTGCTTTTTCGCGGACGTTAAGATACGACGTTAGATGGCATCTAACCGGTACTTGTTATACCGACGATTGATACGCAATTGATAAGCGTAAGGAGTTTTACAACTGTCAGTCTGATTTGTAGAATTTTTGAGCTGTTTGGTCCAGGCGATTGACGATGCAGTTACTTTCGGCTGAATCAGAATACAAGCTTGGTTCCTTTTTAACGTTGCCGGTTAATTCGTGTTACAGAACTGTATTACGATGACAGAAGATCGAAATCCTACAGGCGAAGATACGGCAAATGCGAACTGGAGCAGGTCAAGTCCGCCGTGCAAGCAGTGGCCAACGGATTGTCCTTGAGGAAGGCTGCCAGAATGTTCTGCATGTCGAAGTCTGTTCTTCATCGTTACAGTAAACTTGGAATACCGGTTCTGGTAAAGAGATACGTGCAGAATGATACAGGATCGTGCATCGCTCCGAAATAACGGCACGCCTTGTGAGAAAAATTTTAACGACTTTAAATGCGATACTTAAAAAAAACAAACAAACAAACAAAAGTAACTTCGAAACACCAAGTTTCGTTAGATCACTCTCTGTGTATGTATGCGCGTGTGTGTAAGTGTATCGGAGAACGTGAAACTGTAAATAAAGTATGACTCGGGTATTTAACCTATCGGTGGTGACGCATCCCCCTAAAAAAAGAAAAAAAATACATCGAACGTTGTTAACTAACAGTACACAAAAACGACGATTTTTATTCAACAAAGTTCCAATTCAAACTCTTCTTTTTAAAGGTTGATTTTGAAGGAGTAGACACGAAGATTGCAGACAGAAGAATCTGGGAGAGACTACGGTGACTGCATCGCATTTTTCTTTCTTTTTTTTTTTCTTCTTTTTCTTCGTTTTCTTTTCAACTGCATGGTTTCCCCGAGTAGTTCCGATTTTTCCTACACCCAGTCGACGACATCGCCCCCCCGAATCCCGTCTTCTCCCGTCCCTCTCCTATCGCCGTTAATTGAAAATAAATTTGCGAAGGTGTTCGTTGGATAAAACGACCGAGAAACAAAGAGGATAGTACGTAGCTCGAAGTAGTTGTCGCTACTTTGCGCTACGTGCTACGTTATGTGTGTCATTCCCCGTAGATCGAACGAAAATCTCGCGCGGAACCTCCGGCGTGTTCGGGGCTCGGTTTGTCGAATAGAGTAAATCACACGCGAGAAAGAAAGTGTCCAGTTTTACCGTCGATCGTTTCTAATATCGATCTCTTCTGTTTTCTCGGATTTTTCAGAATCACACTCGATGGGAGGCTACCTGAACTGCCAGAGAGTCACCTATCCGTGCAAGAACTGCGGCAAAGTGTACAATTACTACTCCAGCCTGGCGAGGCATTTGAAGCACGAATGCGGCGTTGAGCCAAAGTTCCACTGTCCCCTCTGCCCTTACAAGACCAAGCACAAATCCAGCTTGAACACGCATCTGAACGGCAGGCATATGAAGCTTCTCAGCGAGTTCTACGCGATGCCGAACGGAAACAAACTCTCGTCGTCCATGGATGCCGGCAACTAACTCTGGTCGCTCTTCGCCGGAAAATAAATCGTCCTTTTGTTTTTTTTTTTTCTTGTTCATTCACCCTACGAAAGTTGGTCAAAATTCCCGGACGAAAAGGACGCACAGTGTATTTTTTCAAACTCGACCGATTGGCCGGTTTTCAATTTCTCCGAGATACGAATTTCTACCTCGAAAGGATCTCGTGACGAAGATCAAAGGGGGGGACGAAAGTGCATCGTGTACCGATATCCACATAGAACAGACAACCAGAGTATTTTAAACAAGACTAGCATCGAAAGTGACTCTATTTTTCGCGACATAACGAGAAACGACGGTAATAAAGAAACTGATGGACGAACACGTTCGTAATGCCAGTGAGATCACACACACCCACACACACACACACACACACACAGACACGTTATTCAGATCGAGTAGATCGTAGTATAGAGGGGTATACCCCTCTTGTTGTCGATTACGATCGAGATTCGAGCCGCAGTCTCTCGATATTCGCGCAAGTATTAATCAAGTTACCTGAAACACTGTGTTAACCGCCTCCACGCGTTACGCGAGTCCTGTGCGTGTACGCAGCCAAAGTTTCGAAGTTAGAGAACGCTGGAACGGTGTGTAACTAGGTTACATCGAACCTATTCGACCAACGTTTTTACCTTTACGTTACTTTCCACACGACAATAAAATATCTGCCTGCGCGAATTAACACGCGAAACATGAACGTAGCCCACTTGATCACCGAAAATGTTTGCGTTCTATTTTGTTGGAAATTCTTTACGAATGACTATAGACGATGGAAAATATCCTTTATAACGCACGTACCTACCTTCGTACCAATAAACAATGGAACTTTCAAATTCGAACGAATTATTTTTCACGAACACCGGTCGATCGTTATTATTCGCCTTCACCCTGCTATTATCTCGTTTACGAATTCACTTCAAGGTAACACGTTTTCCTTCTCGAGAGGATCTCTTTTCTCTTTTCCTTCTCAGTTGTTCCACACGCGGTGGTTCACCGTAACACTGTAGACCAACGACGATTTCAGAGTGCGGCGGCTCTTCTTCGGAATACGACGACGACAAGCGGAAGGAGATGCAGCAGTTCGCAGAAAAATGTTCCGTCGCAGCAAGTACAGGAGCAGCTTACCTGTCCGTCGGTGGATAATTGTGTCGTGCATCGAGAGAATTGTAACTAATTTATACGACAGAAACACCCATCGACCCATCGTCATCGATTGCACGTCATATGGAACTGTAAATTTCATTTTTATCGAAAATATACTCTCTTCATTCCGTTGTATCCTGATAGCTATCTGCAGCCCACCGGTTGCACAAGGCTTCCTAAACTCCCTCCGACCTGTTCACCACTTTCTACATAGATCGAGCTCTGTTCTGGGAAGCGAGAACACGCGAGAATTCGGATCCGAATGTCTGTCGGTCCCGTTGTAACTGGCGCGTACACAGAGTATCGTCTGCATGTAACGAAAGAAACATTTTTTTTCTTCTCTCTCCGTTCTTCTTCTTCGTGTTACATACATCGATAAAACGCTTGCCACCCGTACACGTTATTACACCTGCTCGTTGAACGACGATCGAAGGAACGATTGATCCGCGATTTCGGAAAAGTGACGTGTTTAACCGAGACTCTCTGGTTGATTGCAGATTACTCGAAAATGAAGTTCTACGTGAGCCGAATGCCGAAGGAACAGCGAAGATCGCGTGGACAAGGACGGTTCGCGTGCGACAATTGCGACCGTCGTTATCATCAGATGAAGAATTTGAGGAGGCACATGATCAACGAATGCGGCAAACAACCGATGCACCAGTGCGTCTTCTGCCCTTACAGAGCAACCTACAGGTCTTACCTTCAAGTGCACATGATGAAGCACACCAGGTCTGGATTCACGCCACGCACACCGACCATCAAGCAGTTCAGAAACGAGTGAACAACAGCCGATTCCTCACAGTCTCTCCCGACCCACGCTTTCGAAGCATAGACACAGTTGTTGGACACACCTCGGTTCCAGTGAATCGTGTTTAGAAGTAGCAGGCCTGATGTACGATAATAACAACGTGATCTCTATTTCTCTCTCTCCTCTCTTTCTATCGTAACACGCCCGGTACACGCACACGCAATCACACACGAACATACGTCGGAGATAATCGTCTCGAAGTGAACGGACTCGCCGAGGTCCGGCGTAGATTAAGACGGAATGGGAAAAGGAAGAAGAAAGAAAGAGGGAAAGGAAGAAGGGAAAATGGAAGGAAGGAAGGAAGGAAGGAAGGAAGAAAAGAAGGTGAAAGGACGGAAAGGAAAAAGGATTGAAAAAAAAGGAAGAAGAAGGAAAGGGGGAAAGGAAGAAGGGAAAATGGAAGGAAGGAAGGAAGGAAGGAAGAAAAGAAGGTGAAAGGACGGAAAGGAAAAAGGATTGAAAAGGGGCGGAGAATGACGAAGGTCTGTGAAAGTATCCTTTCATAAATTAGACGATGAAAAGTGGCACGATTGAAATAAAACTCTGTCACAGTTCTATACCAAAGGATTGTCTGTGTTTTTTGGTGTGTTTGGTTAATCTCACCCCTCCCCGTTTTCTCCGTTTCCCTCCTCGTCGTTCCTCCATTTCGTTTTCTTGTTTCTTCGTGGAACGTGTGTAGTCGGTGAAAAAGAGATCGTCCGAGGGCGAGACTTTATTTGGGAAACGATCGTGTCGCACGAGGACAGCTCGATTCCCACTAATCAAGGCTATTTCATGTCTGTTTCAGTGGAGTCCAATTATCCTGCGACCTCGGTGTTCAAGCACACCTGTGCTACCTGCGGCAAGACGTACAAGCACAAGCACCACCTGAAGAGGCATCACGACTTCGAGTGCGGCATCGATCCAAAGTTCAAGTGCGCGTTCTGCCCGCACAGGACCAGATACAAGGACAGTCTGATGAAGCATATACTGGCGAGACATCAGCATCTCCTCGATCAGAATCCTCGATACAGGTTGCAACAGGTGGACGCGATGACCGATCTCGATGGGAATGTGCACATTCAGGGAACCATGTTCGCCTCTTATCACGATTTCCCGCAAAATTTATAAGATCCTTTGTACAGTCGCGCGTCGTGGTGACAGAAAGAGAAAAGAAAAAAAAAAAAAAAAAAAAAAAAAAAAAAAAAAACTCGCTTTACTCGCTGTACTCGGACACATATTTTCTTTCACGCTGATCAACATCTCTCGATCATCTTGAGAGGGTCTTTCTAGCATTGTAGACGAGCAGAGCATCTTGTAAATAAAGATCTTGTGTATTTTACATTTTGGCAAAGAGAGTTTTAATCGGCGTCATTGGTATTTTCAGATCGATGATGGATGATGATGAGATTAAGAACGGATGAAAAGATATTACTCACGGAGAGACGAGATGTTAAAAGTGTTTTGTTCCGTTTGTTTGCTTTCAGGGAGCACCAACTACAGCTCGTCGAATTGGACGGTGCCGACGTTACCATCGACGTCTCGCGTGGTCGCGTACACTAGGCATCTGCGCTCGATGAACGAGCACGGTGGCAAGGTGCGACGATGGGGGCCAAGAAAGTACCTGTGCACCGATTGCAACCGAAATTTCGAGCTGATGGCCTCGTTGACGCGTCACAGGATCTTCGAGTGCAACAAGCAAGCGATCGCCAGCGAGAGGGGTGTTCAAGACCAGCCGCCCGCCGGTGAACGAAGGAGGAGGAAGAAGAAATACGTTTGCCCGAATTGCAATCGCGTCTACGCGGTGTTCACCTCTCTGTGGAGGCACACCAATTACGAGTGCGGCGTCGAGCCGAAATTCACCTGTCCCATATGCAAATTTAGGTTTTCCCAAAAGAGCAACCTCGATCGACACATTAGAACCAAACATTGAGCCTCGATATTTCGCGTTCGGCGAAGTGTACTCTCTACGATAAACGATAGGCCGCTTCTGGGTAATTAGTCGAGGCGTAGGGTGTAAATGGAATCGAGCGTAGCGATTGAAACAAAAGAAAAAAAAAAAAAGGCGAAATATCGAAAAATCGACAAAACACGGAACTGTTTTTCGAGGAAGATGTCGTTTCCGAGGATTCGGCATCGTTGAATTATTTAATTTATAGTTGACAAATTGCCAAATTTACGAATAGAGCGTTCTCCTTCGCCGTTAATTAAGTAGTCACGCGTTTCTGTGGGTAGAAATTATCCAAGGCATCCAAAGATAGTGTGTAATTGTACGAATTAAATAAACTTATGGGCTTTCTAATACTTGATGAATTTCAACCGGCTATGATTCTTGGGTAACTGACCAAAACGTTTCAGCGCAAGCACTTCTCCTCTTCTCCACAGGAAATTGTTCGAAGAGAGCCCACGTGAAAAGTGAAATCGTCGTACTGTACTGGTGCGTGTCTGTGTGTGTGTGCCTGCGTGCCTGTGCGTGTGTATGTACGTGTTCTCGTGAATATACATATATATATACTATATATCGCGTAAATCTGCAAAGGTGCTCGAGGTATATTTTCTCTAACAGGTTGTCCCGTTTATTTCTAGGATTCACGGGGAGGAACGCGTCAGAGAGTAGCGACCCCCGGAAAAGATCCTTAAGCGGCACTAGGCAAAGACCGGTAAACGAGGCATGGAAAATATCCGTGAAATCGAGGGAGACGCCCGTCATGTGTCCCCGTTGTGGAAGAACGTATAAGATGAAGAGAAATTTAACCACTCACATGAAATTCGAGTGCGGCGGACAGAGAAACTTTACGTGTCACGTCTGTCCGGCGAGATACACGCAGAATATCGGTCTCCGTAGGCACCTGTTGCGAAGACACAATATCTACCTGCCGCCAAAGTTTTCCGTTCCCAAGCGAATTTTCGCACAATGTTGATCGGATCGAACTTTCTTCCCGCCCAACTTTCCATTAGAGATCTCTGGCCAATTTACCTTAAAATCGCGGCGCCGGCTTTCCGCTACACCATTTTCTGCATTACTACATGCTGTAATTTTAGGACGAGGGTAAAGTCAGCCAAAAAACGACTAACGTTCGACGTAGATAGATAGATAGATATGTATATGTAAGATTATTATTATTATTGTTGTTGTTGTACGAAATAAAGGTTGCACACGAGAGCCTGATCCCCTAATTCATTGTCCAAGAAATCCGAGAGTGGTTCACCGGTTAGCGATGGCGGAGAAAGACGAGAGAGATGGAGATTGGTTTAGAGCTGCACTGTTAGAGAGAGAGAGAGAGAGAGAGAGAGAGCACCTTGACCACGTTGACTATTCTATAACGCGTGGTCCCTAAGTACGGGCAAATTCTACTTGACCTTTCGTTTTCATTGTTTTACAGAGCTGCATTTCGTTGCACGTGGAACCAGAAACGGATGCTGCAGGATTATGGAAGCGTTCACCTGTCACCAGTGTGGCAGATCCTATCAGAGGCGGCACAATCTGGTCCAACACCTGAGATTCGAGTGCGGCGGCCGCAAGCATTTTGCCTGCACCGTCTGCCCGGCTAGATACACGCAAAACGGAAAGCTCAGGCAGCACATGTTGAACACCCACAACATCTTCGTTCCGCCGCGAAAAACGTGGGTGAGAACCGCTTACAGTTAGACCGTCTTCGGCAACGCCTTCCTCGTTCTTTATACGCAGAGAGAACGTTTACGGTACAAAAGCAAAAAAAAAAACAAAATGGCAAAAAAGACACGTCAGATTAGATCGAGAATCTTTATTCATGTAACGTTTGTGAGATTTAACGTGAAACAGTTGTACAAAATAAATCGTTTGAGAAACTGAAAACACCCACGAGATACTGCACTTTCGTCCAATATTCGCATCGTTTCTCGTTGCTGGTCATGTACGCGGAAGGAGAAACGGAAGAAGAAGAGGAAGTAGAAGAAGAGAAGAAGAAGAAGAAGGAGAATGAATTGAACGAACGACACAAGAGTGTCTAGAACTCGATTATTCTAACCAAAACACGAACCTTCTTTTGCAGGACCCTCTATGAGAGAGAGGCTCGTTGAATCGTCTTTTGCACACGAAGATATCTCGATACGATCTACCACTGAAGAAGGAAGAGAGTCTTCTCGAAGATCAATCCTCGTCGAAAAAAACGAGGGCGTCGATCCACGAAGATTTTTATCCGCAGAACCGGAAGATCTACGATCATTTAGTTCGATCCTCAGTTTTTCCTCCCGTCCCCGTTCACACTTCACACCCCCGCCCGCCCCCCATGTAGAATTAAATAAACGATTATGTACAGTCGTGATCGTTTGGTCATTGATTCATTTCTGAGTTTTGTCGCGGGTTGTACGAGACAAAGAGTAGCAAGTATTTTGCAAGTATACAAGAGCGCCAACGGAAGATACCCTGTCGTTTGCACATCTGTCAGTTCGCGGTGTAATTAACGTTGAGAGAAAATGATTGCCACTTTCACGGTAGCAGTTCTCTCCCGTGTGTTCGTAGAGAAACGGGGGAAATTTAGCGTTCACGTTGTTGGGAAAGTTGTCTCTGTTTTTCGTAGACTGGCAATTTATTTGGATGTGACCGGCAGTTTCTCGCGGGGACACGTTTATTCATCATCGTTTAGAAAAAAAAAAGAGCCTCCATCTAAAAGTTAGAGCAATCGAATAGTTCCACGAATAATAGCAATGGTCGACACTGTTCGACGAAACCCACTGACAATGTTGTTTTTCTTTTCGTTCGACAGGTTTCGCGAGGTCTCGGTTCACCTGTCAGCAGTGCGGCCGTGGGTACACGATGCTGTGCAACCTTAGGAGGCACATGAAATGGGAATGCGGAGGGAAACGCCAGTTTCCCTGTTACTACTGCAGCTACAGTTTTACTCAGAAGACGAGTCTGCAACGTCATCTGACCGCGATTCATAAGATCGACGTTGTCAACGGATCCGATCTGATATAGAAGAGTTCGATAACAATTCCTCTCCCGCTGCCTCGAACCGACAGTCTCCTCGTCTACAGGCGACGAGAGTGTCGTTGGAGAAACCACCATAGAGAACTTCCTCCTTTACTCCTGCCGCAAAATAAGAATAGACCGATCTGTTTGCCTACGCGTAGTTTCTGATCCGAGACGTTCGTAACGAACATACATAGGTTGTTGCTTCTTGTACTGCTCTCCACCGTCCTTTCTCCCGAAAGCAAACAATTCACCTGTCCCACATTTTCACCGAATCTCCCGTTTCTCCCTCTTCTAATCGATGCAGAATTCTGTCGTAACAGGACGCGCCGAGTCTGCCAGGACGACGGGAAAGAGAGATTACTTGGGTTCTCTAGGAAAATCGATTCCGATTCGCGATTAACACAACTCTGCTGTTAATGTTCTTCTAGGTCTCGCCAGTCAGTGTACCAGTCAGATCCTTGGACGAATTCACGTAGAGGGGTGACAAGGTTCGGGCAGAATTCCTCCGAGCAGCAACGAGACAGACAGCAGCATCCGGTATCAGTTGCAGCTGGAATGTGTGTCAACTCGAAGATCACGATCTCGATCATCTCGCGAAGATCATTCGTTGCGCCCGGAAGAATCTCTGATTCCCCTCACCGAAGAATCTATAGTCTCTGTCCTCAGTGAAGATCGTATGTTCAGCCTTGAAGATCGTCGCACACCGACAGCAGCTTTGTTCGTTACGCACAATCTCGAACATGCGACACAACACGCGAAGATATCATCGTCTCAACGGTTCCGAAAAAACTTCAACGAACAGATTAACGAAACGCGCGATCATCGGATTCGGCAAAAGTGTATGGACTCTCGAGTAGAATTGAAAATCAGTTTCCGTGTTCCTTTCGTCTTTATGCGCGAAGATATTGTATAGATACGCCTTATTTTGGCACGTTGTAAATCACGGTTCGATCGCGTTTTACGTGTAATCGCAAAGTGTCGTTCTTGTTTCTCGATGAATAATGCAATTAACAGAATCGATTCGAAAACTTGCCTCCTAGAGTGTCAATAGCGTAGTCGTCTGATGTTTAAACAAATTGACTGTGTGCCACCCAGTGTTTAGCAGAGATAATAAATATAACAATAAAATTTTACGCAAGGTGTTATGTCACGATGATGATGCAGTGAAACCCGACAGAGAGTGTATACATACACGCACACGTGCACACGCGTAACCAATTATTTTGCACGGTCCTTTCTTCGAAGTCACACTGCCGCTTTCGCGAGTTCGCGTTTTACGATTTTCATTTTTTTTTTTTCACACTTTTATCATTTATCTCTTCTCCTTTGATATTTGATTTTTTTTTTTGTTTTTAAACCGCGACACTTTCTTAACCTAATCAACGTCGTCTCGTAGCGAAGATACTCGTCCTGCGTATCATTTCAATGTGCACGTACGTATACAGTACTTATTACCGACTGAACCTCATCCTAGAAGTCGCGTTTAATCGCGGTCTTCGACTGTTTGCTGGATATATTCTTAAAACTCCTCTATTTTTTTCTCATTATTATGTCACTTATGTTTCTTTTGGTTTGTAAAAGGAAAGGATTTTCTCGATTTCTCCTCGCTCTTTTCGCTATTTTTTTTTTTTCTCGTATCTTTCCTTCGAAGAATTTCAACGCGAACACACATCTCTCTCTCTCTCTCGAATCTTTTCTCTCCGCGTCTACTTTTCACGTTTACTTTGTTATTTATCCGATCACTTGATAGATCGGCTGATTAAACTTTCTTTTCTCTACACGCGATCTTCTTCTCTCTCCCTCCCTCGTTAACGTGTGAAATTTCTCTGCTTTATTTTCCAGATTTTCCAGAGTGCAAGCAGGATTACCGAATGTACCTAAAGTGTCTGCCACCGCTCGATCTAGCGAACACTAACGCCTCGGCACCGTTCCATCCAGGTATGAGCTGTACGGGGGACCCGAGGCTCCTCTTTCAACGCAACTCCTCCTCGTGGATACCGGAAACGGACAAACCGTACATGTGCACCAACTGCGGCAAGGGTTACACTCACATATTCACGCTGAACCGTCATCGTCGAACGGTATGCGGTAAGGTCAGGAACACTAACGGCAAGTGGAAGTGTGCGCGTTGTTCGAGGTCCTACGTGACGGAAGGGAATCTCGTCCGTCATGTGAAGTTCGAGTGCGGCGTGAGGAGGAAGTTCTGCTGTATCTTCTGCAATCGCAAGTTCACGCAACGTTGCAGCCTGATCAGACACCTGAGGAACTTCCACAACGAGAGCATCGACAGCAGCAACAGCGCGATCCCACCAGAGTATCCGCCGATGGACACGTGTCAAATGGAAGTGAAAAAGTCCGAAGACACTGCAGTATGAAGATGCCTTGTTGTCTCCAGAGATTAGCAATTATCGCGTAGAGAGAGAGACTGTATAGATTCGACGGCGAGTCGCCTAATCTCGTTCCTTCGCCGATGAAAAAAATCTTCCGAGACAGATCACAGCTCCCCGTGTGTGCGTTGAAAAATTTTTCCCACGTTTCTCTCGGTGTTGAAAGACCGAGAAGGAGAATCGAAGACCAGGGAAAAGAGCAGGACGATTCTTTTCTTTTCTTGCTTCGACTTTGTTACGTTCGTACAATGTCTAAGGATAATCGTATCCTGCACGAACGTCCGTTTTGTTGGTTGCAGTGCTAATATTGCTTTAATTCTTTTAACTTCGCTCTACGATCAGAAGAATTTCGTATTGTGTTGTACGGTGTTTAGACTGTAAAAGAAGAGTTTCGTATGTGTATAGCCTTCGCTGCGATTTCACGCGTTTGCTCTTTGAAAATGAGCAGACGGAGTGAAGAAGGGGGCGGGAAATCGAAGCCGAGAACGGAAGTAAACGCGAAACTGGGTCTCCTCCGATCGTTAATAGGAGTGCGTGTTACAAAACGCAAGTACTTATTATTCGCGAGTATAAGTACTTGCCTGTTGTTAGAATTATTTACTAATGGCCTTTCGAGAAGCTTTTGACTATCAGATGAAA